TTCTAACAGCTTTTAAATTTCAACATGAGAAAAATTTTAGCCTATCACAGGGATGAGAGTAGTCAGAAAGTAAAAAAGAGGAAATCCAAGAATGAATATATATATATATACACACAAAAATTTGACAAAAAGAGTAAGATCTTTAAACTTGTAAACAATGTCATTATAAATCCTGATGATTAATTTTAAAATTGCATGAATATATAAATATTAATCACATGCCTTATTTTTAAATTGAGACAATATGAATCCCGATTAAACCACGTGAATATGAAACTCTATATAGAATTTTAAAATATGCAGAAATACAAATCATGATGCGTAATTTTTAGAGCACGTAAACACGAATCACGATGCATAATTTTCAAACCACGCAAATACAAATCACAATGTCTAATTTTTAAAGCACGTTTAAGTACGAAAATCGATGTTTGATTTTACAACGGCAAAAACGTATCACGACATAGAATTTTAAGCTCGCATGAATACCAATCGCTACATAGGGATTTAAAAAGCGTAAATACAAATTGTTTTATTGGATTTTTAAATCTTGTAAATAAGAATCGCAATGTACGATATTTAAATTGCCTGAATAAGACTCGCAACGTTCAACTTTTAAATCAGGCAAATATGAAAATCGTGAATACGAATCACTACATAGGGTTTTAAAAGCGCTTAAATACAAATCGCTATATTGGATTTTTAAATCTCGTAAATAAGAATCGCAATGTACGATGTTTAAATCACCTGAATAAGACTCGCAACGTTCAACTTTTAAATCAGGCAAATACGAAAATCGATGTTTGATACTAAAATAGCGATTTTAAAAATGCATAAATGCAAAACGGGATATTGGATTTTTAAATCTCGTAACCAAGAATCATAATGTGGGGTGTTTGAATAGCGTAAATAAGAATCGCATAGCGCAACTTTTAAATCAGGTAAATACGAAATCGATGATTGATATTAAAATCGCGAGAGACTGGACTTGGGATTTCTAAAAGGCTTGTTTGTATTGTTTTTGTTTAGACATAATAAATAAAAATTTGCAAGAGTAAGTGAATGAGCAAATAAATATTTTCACCCCAAATCCACCTCTATTATTATTTTTTTTTTTTTTTTCTTTTCGTTTGCTTTCACGCCAGACAACAGGATCATGACGTCTGAATTGTAAAAATATGAGCTATCCGGCGGACAAATAAAAATAAGGAAAATCTTATTTTCTGTGAAGAGAAAATAGCTAAAATAAGTAAAAATACGGAGCAGCTAGGATGTAGTTTGAATTTTTTGCTTATCTTTGAAAATCGTAAATGAATATGATTATTTTATTTCAACGATTGAATTTTCAAAAAAAAAAAAAAAAAGCGGGATATTTATTTTAAAAAAAAAAAACGAAACTTTTAGAGAATTTGAGTTTTTGATAAAAAGGCTGAAATTCGAAAGGCAAAAGCGAAAAAATATCATCTCTGTATAAAGGTCAACCAGTTTTATTCCAAGGAAATGATTTTTTGAGAAACTTCAGAGGGAGGAATGAGGACTTCAATGCTTTCGCTCAGCGGAAAATTAAATTCCTCATAAAATATTTTAACTTGTTCAAAAAAATTTTCGCAGAAAATTAAATTCCTCATAAAATATTTTAATTTGTTCAAAAAAAATTCCGCGGAAATTAGCGGAAAAAATTTAAAAATCTAAAAAAAAAGCGGAAATCCGCAAAAGAATCTCATTGCTGCTATCATAAAGATTTAAAAAATAACTATACTTTTAAGAAACAATTGGTAAGTCATCATTGTCATTAAGTAGAAAGATTGGTTATTAAATTTTATTTATTCATTTAAAAAAGTGCATCCCTATGTAATGGTTATATATGACGCACATCAGATTAAAAAAAAAAATCACTGACTAAATCTGATTTTTTTTTATTTTACTTTCGTGTATCTTCATTTAATTAATTTTTTTTCCCCATGAATGTTAAAGCAGCAGTACTCAAATGGGCATTGAAAATAAATTCTTCAGTTTCAATGTATCCAGTAAAATTATATCTTAGAATATTTTTTATTTATCAAACTATGAAAAGTAAACTAGATATTTGTTCATTGGGTTGTTAAATTAATGCATAAATCAAAACTAATAAGTTCATAACATATTACAATAGGAATAAAAATTAAATATCATAAGATTAATAGCTAAAATGACATGTCAAAACTAAATTATTAAAATTCATTTAAAAAATTCATTCAATTGTTCTTTGTAATGCAAGTACACTCAACTGATAGAATGACATATTGGGGCAAAAGAAAAAATTTTCAAAGTTCATTGCTTTGAGCCTGCATTCAAAAAAAAAAAAAAAAAAAAAAAAAAAAAAAAAAAAAANAAAAAAAAAAAAAAATGAAAGACTATTAAATATTAAATGTAAAGAAAAATTTTTTAAAAATTTTTATGACTGGTTTTAAAAAATATGATGTGCATTTAAAATAACATGCTCTCCAATCATAGTCGGGGGTCTGTCCAGACATTTTGTGAAAGATCCGTTTTTCGTGAAATTGTGAAAAAATTACTCACATTCTTTCAACCAGGGTCCGCTTTTATGAATTTGTGAAAATAGGGTCCGTTATTGCAAAAAAAAACTTTTTCAAGGAGTTTTTAAATTGTAAAGACATACAAGATTATGCTCAACACTGTAAAATTATGATTAAAAAAATTAAATTTTAAAAAATAAACAACAATTGCTGCTTCTAAATTAGAGATGTAACATACAAATATTTGGTATTTAGCCTATATTGCTGAACGCAGAATATTCATTTCGGACGAATAATGGAAGAATCGTCTGCCGAGGACAAAACTTAATTCGTTTACATCCATCTTTCTTGTTTTCTGCCCTGGAAAGGGTTTATTCGATTAACAAAATAATAATGAGGATAAACAAATTTGTGAAGGGTTCGATTAAAAGAAAAATCATTTTGTGAAGGGTCCGTTAACGGACCCAAATTTCTTCTAAACAGACCCCTGATAGTACGAAATTGATTTAAACAAATTTTAAGGTAAACATCTTAGGATAAAACTTTAAAACAAGTCAAAATAGAAAACCACTAAAAGCAGCTAAAACAAAATTTGTCCTATGTAAACAATTTAAATAAAAAGTTAGAAACCAAAAATAAGTCAAACAAAACGAATGTTCATATAACAGATTTAGTTTGACTTTGAAATATTATTTCTAATTTAAGAAATAACAAGAGAAAGAAATGGCTATCATTACTGTTATTAGTAACTAGGCAAACCAATATTCTGTAAAAATGTCTGAATTTCAAAGCAAGTAAAACAATGATGTCATATTTATAAAAATTGTAATTTATTGTTTTAATGTCATGAAACTGCAAATAATTTAAATTAATTGTATACTAGGGTTGATTGAAAAAAAAAACTTTTGTTTTTCAAAATTATGATTCCAATAATGACAGAAACAGTTTTTCAAGTTCCATAAATATGATGAAAAATTATTTTTATAGCAGAAAATATTTCAAACTTGAATTAAAAGAATTAGAACTGAAAAATAGCTATTTTTTCACCTAGCAATAACAAAAATATAAAAAGCGATATACACTTAAATTACTTTACAAAATTTTATTGAACTTACAATGAATTTACTAGAATTTGGAAAAAAATATGTCTTTTGGCCCACAATAAAATATACAGAACAAAATCCCATATTTAGGCGTCCATTTACCAGAAGGGTTTCTTTTCCGTACACTTCTAAACAATCAAAATAAACAAAAAATTTCTCATTTCAAATATATATATATATATATGTTTTAACACTTGTGACCTGTTTCCAGGGAGGAAAATCCTCTTTGTTTTGTTAATTTCCGCTAGTTTACGATTTTTATTTGACAATCAGATTTCTACAATAATATGAAAAAATTGGATGTCACTGAAATAAAATCCGGTATTCCACAACAATACAACCAAAAAAGAAAAACTTTTTTTCTCACGTCTCACATAAAAGAATTATAACTGCCAAGAATCACACATTTAATTTCAAGGTACACAAAAATTTCACATTTTCAAAAAATTTCAGATTTGAGATGAAATTGCCATAGCTAAAGCAAGTCATTAAGTGATTATTCAAAAGTACGATTTCGAATTCAAGAATAGTAATATTGTATTAAAAATGAAATTTTAAGTATTATGAGGAAATCTGAAATTGTTTTGAAAATGTTAGCGACAAGATGACGTGGACAATAAAATCATCACAAATTGAGTGCACCTAAAAGTAATTCTACAAATGCCCAAATTGAAATTTCCTGTGTATGATAATGTTGCATTAAAAAACTATAAAAATTCAGAGCAATAACTAACAAATATGGGATCATAAATCCATATGGGATTGCGGGTGAATTGTCAATAATTAAGTGAGAAATGTGTGGTTCTAAGTTTGCCGAACAAAATAATACCGTATTAAAACATTGATATTTTAAAAACCAAGTAAAATTCCGATTTAATAACAGCTAAAAAAACAATAGTCAAAATCAAACTATGGATTTGTCGCTTATCAAGTGGATTGAGAAATGAAAACTAACCGAAATATGTAATTTGGAACTTGCGACACGTTATAATGGCATCTTAAAATATTGAGGTTTTAACAAACTATGTGGAAATCTGCAACAAAAGTTGAGAAAATAGCACAACCACACAAATGTTGATTTACTCGATGTTGATTAAAATTGACTTTAATTCCTGTCTATTTGTTATACTTAAATGAATAAGGAAGTTTTGATGTTTGTTTACTTTAAAAATCCATTAACCTCAAAAATCTTTTTCCGGGACTTGTCGAAGCTCCGACTATTCCAGATATGGGACTTTCCACTGTAGTTAACATTCAAATTTCTATTCTGTATTCAAAAGAGGTGAATTATTAAGATAATAAAAAAGGTATCTATATAAAATTAACTTGTATATGTTTACTTTCATAATTAAAATTCAAGTAAAACAATGATTGTACGTACCTTTATTATTTCTTAGTGCCAAAAAACATCCTGGATCAAAGCAAATCTCATCATCTGAACCAATAATATCATCTCTACTTACATCACCTTTAAAAATTCACAACCATATATAAAAATAAAAAACAATTAGTTTCATGTAAAATAATTAGTTGTTATAGCATCGATAAATAATTTTTTTAATTATCTCCATTTAATTTTATGCTTATTAAAACTAAATACATATGTAGTTAATGTGTTTAAATAACGTATAAAGACATGCTCCACCAATATAAATCTACACTGATTGTTTTTTTTTTAATGTTTTCTAATCTAAATCACCCAACTTTTCATTCAATATCTAACTAATTGCAGTTGAGCTTGAGCAAACACAACTAGACTACATTTTTTCAGGGATTTGTTCGTAATAATCAATATTAACAATTTAACTTAAAAGTATTACATAAGCACATTAGTTTTAATAGTTTTGTCAAATTAGATTAAGCATTATTAATGCATTTAAAGAAATATCTTTAATTGATAAGAGAGAAGCATATATAAGCATACATACAGTCGCATTTTATTAAGATGAAAATGTTTAACACATGATTTTGCTTAAGACATAGGTAAACTCTTTCCTCCATATTAACTTTCTAATAACAATATTTATTGTATTCTTTAACAGGAACATATAAAAAAAAATTCCAGTACAAAACGAAGTAAATATTGCATGTAATGCAAATATCTCAAATTTAAATTTCGAACATCCTATTTAACATATAAGTCTTTGAAAAAATTATGTATAAAGGCCGAAAAATTATTAAAAAATTCCCTATACGCCATAGTCGAAAACCATGAAATTGCAATCGAATTGTGATTAATTGAACCTAAAAAATAATGATAACACAAATTCAATGAGAAAAAAAAATGCAAAAAATTACATATTTTGAAACAATTAATCATCAAGTGACGTAAAACTTTAATGAAATAGTCACAAATCAAGCACATTAAATAGTTATAACTCCAATTTCATACATCGCATCGTATGAATATATTGAATTTAAAAACCATGTGAAGAGGGTCGATAAAATGATATACAGTCGAACCTCGCTAACTCGAACCTTGATTTCACTAATTGTTCAATATCTCGAAGGGAAAAAAATTCCCTTCAAATTTCCTATACACTCAATGTTAAACAAAAACTTGATTTCACAAATTTTTTCTTCTAATCCCAATATAACTTGAATTTTTTTTCCATAAATAGAGTACATTTTTTTTCTAAAATTAAAAAAATAAACCAAAAAAAAAATAATTTAAGATTGGCTGACAAGGCATAGAATGATGTGTCTTCCTCTACGATAATGAATGGTTTCAAGAAGTCTGGAGTCATTAAAGATCACGAAAGTAGTTAAACAATCAATATCGCTAATTCTCCTGAAAATTACAACGAAAATGATTGGGACAGATTGACCGGACTCATGAAGCTTGATGACATGGAATTTCATGACTTTGTATACGTAGATGATGCAGTAACAGTGTGTAGTCAGTGGGATGACAATGATATCATCACTCAAATGAAAGCTTCTTGTGAACTATCACAAGAATAGGATGAGGAAATCTAAGATTTACCGCCCAGTGTTACTAACAAACAAGCACTTTCTGCAGTGGACACTGTAAGGAGATTCACTGAGAGGCAGCGAAATATGTTAGAGGAGACATTTAAAGCTATAGTCCACTTAGAAAGTGTTATAGACAAACTTTCTTACACATCTCTAAAGCAAACTATAATTGAATCTTTTTTTAGATGAAAGTGTAAAAAGCATTTTTAGAATAAATATGGAATAGTAAATAAGGTATGTAAAGAGCATTTTTCTTTATTCTACCATCGATATAATGCGATTTTCGATAATTCGAATTTTCGATATCTCGAATTTTTTCTCCTCTCCCTTCAAGTTTGAGATATCGAAATTTGACTGTATATAACTGGTGAAAAGCCTATCATAAACCAACAAGAAATTATGATAGAATAGTCACAAATCGAACGCATCATATAGTAACAACTCAAATTCGAATGTTGTGATAACATGGTATTAAACATATCAGAATTTTAAAAACCATGTAAAAGGGTAAAAAAAATTACAAATAATTTAAAAATTATAATAGGCCATTCCCCCCCCCCCTTGATATACTCACATATTCTCATTTTTAGTGCATGCGGCACAGAAATTTTTATTCTAAGGGCAAACGGGGTGCCTGACTCTGCAAACATCAACTATACGGAACTCTGGTTCATATAGGTGCTTACATGTATAAATTCATATTTTAAATAATAAATTACATTTTTAATTTTTTTATTGAAAAATTATGCTTTGATCAATTCAGTTCAAAAGAAATTCCAGGCTTTGAAAAATAAATTATACTATGTATCTAGCAATTACATTTTCTGATAAATATGCAAATATAAAAACTTATTTCTAATAACTATGATGATATATCAAACACAATATCTACAATCAATAAATTTTCAGAATATAATAACAAAGATAAAAATTAATATAATAAAAGTTAATATATTAACAATACATTGAAGTGGCATTACATTGCACCGGAAATAAATGTATATAAGGATTGTAATACCAAAAATAAATACCATCTTTTTCTTAAACATCTATAACACTAAATAAAAAACTAACTACCTGCTTCAAAGTTATTTTTTTAGTTAAATATTTCATTACAACACAACTAGCAGTCTTATTATATATAAACTATTTATCTTACTTTCTTCTGATGAAGATACACTTGAGCTGGAAGAAAACTGTCCAGTTCTTTTCTTTTGATTACTCGGAATTAATTCATTGCAATCAATATTTTGTAATGGTTCTTGATGCAATTGATTTGTTTCACTGTTCATAAATGAATGATGAGGCACAGCAGGATTTGGCAAATATCCTTGATTTGGCAAATACCCTTGATTTGGCAAATACCCTTGATTTGGCAAATACCCTTGATATGGCTGAACACCCTGATGAATCCATTGCATCATTGCAGAATGCTGTTCAAGATACTGTTTATAGAAATGCTTGCTCCAGCAAAATTGGCAACATCTTTCACACATCTTAAGACTCTAAAAAGATATTAAAACGTTATTTTTGTTGTTTAACAATTGTGAAATGAAATTCATGATGATGTATACAATGAACCAAGATTTGCATATGGTATAGAAGAAACATATTTCTTACAGAAGAATGGAAAAAACTGTTCAAATTGAAAAAAAAAATGGACAAAATGGCTTAAAATGATCGATAAATAATTTAACAAGTTATACTACAAATGACCAATAAATTGTTTAGCAATTTATACTCATGTATAATTTTACTTATGAAATCAAATCTACTTTAGGCATTAATGCAATTTTCTTTGGTTAGTGTTATGGATTATATTCCAGTAATGATTAAATCTTTAAAATATTGCTTGATTCGAATATACAAGCTAGTGAACCATGGATCTAAAAACATTCGCTGGATATTTCTTCCACTATTGAGAAAATCACTCCAGAAAAAATGTGCATATTTCTTTAAACTTTCATGAGTCTACCATTTTTAAATAATTCATAACCTTTTAAAAGAAGTACAGAATAATACTAAGAAAAAATCTTTTTTTTTTAAAAATTCCCGTTCCGTTCCGAATTTCTTAGCAAAGTTTTATTTCACTCAACTAAACGAAAACAACGACAAACAAGTACATTTGACAATTCGTAAGTTGCTTACAGCTCAGTTTAATGAATACAACTGAATGGAAAACACAGTTAAATTAGAACTATAACTTCTACTCAAAGCTCGCGACAAATTTTTTTCAATTTAATTCGCAAACGTCCTGAACGTGACAAACTTGCGGATATGGCACTATTTTCAATTTCTTCAGCTACGTAGTTCTAAGAGCAAAAAGTCCCGCAGTGAACTGATCATTAAGACACGGTTCCCAGTAGATCACCGAAGTCAAGCATCACTGGCTGCGGTCAGTGTGCGGGTGGGTGACCACTTGGATCAGTCTGCGTAGGGACCGAGGGTGTGCGGTATGGGTCCTCGTTAAACTGCGCTACCGTAAAGTGCTCGATTTCGCGTGCAGGTCGTTAGGCTACCGAAGCAGGGGTGCCATCCTCTCTGCAGAGGATCAAAATTGGCGATCGAAATGGGCTGCAGGTGGCGTAGAGCAGAATTCTTTTCCTATGGCAACACTTCACATGCTTTCCCCATTAGCGTGTGGAAAGTCATAGAGGAAGGAAGCACGTTAGTTTCTCACTTGATTTTCACATAGATTAGAATCCTTTAACTTAAAAAACTATATGGAACTGAAAACTACATTAAACATAGTTCTAAAGAAAAGTATCATGGAAATTTTAAAAAATATTTTTATTAAATAAAAAGGAAAAATATTAAGAAAAGGGAAAATATCGTAGTACATTCCTATACAACTGAAAAGAGGAGGAGAGGGAAGGGAGAAGGGCTAAAGGCATGAAACCGGTCTCTCCCCAGATGGCGTATTCGAGTGTTGCGATCGCGAATTGTGATGGCTTGTCTTCGGATCATCCTCAGGGATGTTTCCTAGACCGTCGCCAATAGCCCATTGTGCAGCTCTAGTGCGACGTAAATTAACTTCAACAACAACTAAGAGCAAAAAATAATTATTTTTCTGAAATTTTCGTCAACGTCATTTCGTACTTCTAGCCCTTTAAAAGCTATTTTTTATATTCTGTTTTGTTGAATGGTTTACACATCGATCTTAATGATTGGGGCCTCCTTGGCCGAGCGGTATCGCTCGTCAAGCGCTCTGTTAACCGGGGAGGTGGCTGGTTCGAATCCCGCCGTATCCCTGGATGTATTCTTTGGGATATTTTATGTTACAAAATCAGACACAGAAATGTACTTTCTCTGAATAAACATTGCTTTTATATCTACGAATTCAGATTTCTGATCCCCAAAACATAGGGAGTGGCAGCAATCTTGGAAATACAGTCGTGATAGTTTGGTCAGCAGATCTGCTGACCACTCGAGTTGTCCAAGGTTTGAGCCTTTTGTTTATTCCACTTTTTGAGGATTAAAAATATAACTTTAAGTAAATGTTTATTATTTTGTTTAATAATAGTAAAAGAAAAAAACTTCTGAAATGTAAGGTATACAATTGTTTACATCGTTTTAAAGAATGCAATTTATGGAAAAACACAAAAATTTCAGTGTAATTGATTGAAAAAGTCGCATTTTTGAAATATGATTTCTCTGGCTCTAATTCGACCTATTTCACAAAAATTCTGTATTTTTCTATTTAAAATTACGTTCTTTAAAATAATGTAAACCTTACGATTCGAAAATTTTTTGATTATTATTATAAAAAGTAATTAAAAAAATTACTGAAAGCTATATTTTGCTTGGAATAATCTTTGTGTACCTTGGTGTAATCCTCAAAACAATCTTTTTTGATTCAAAAAAAAAAAAAAAAAACATTTTTTTTTTCGAAAGCATTTTGATTCTTTGATATTTTACTATCCGTTTTAAAAAAATTTCTGTAAAGTGGCAACCCTGTTTCTACAATATATCTGTCGAAATTGTTTCGTATATTTTAACAGATTGGCAAAAATGAGTCTAACTTTGATACAAAACACTTAATTGAATTATAATTTGTTTTCTAGTGTTTTTTGTGGTGGTAAAAAATAATTCTTTGTGATGATAAAATAGAATCTTGATTTACTTTTTAATTACCAATTTAGACTTCATTGTTTTTAATAATGTGAGTTATTATGCTATGAATGAATATTTTTTTTTAAATTTTATTATTCACATATGACTTACTCTTTTATTGCTATACAAACGCTTGTGCACTCCCTAATAACTCCTTTAAAATTGAAGAACACGCAGTTTAAGTTAGAGAAGTATTTTTTTATTGCTGTATGAAAATCGTTCCAAGCTTAGTTATTTTTGATACATTTAAATGTTGTGCTAAGAACGATATGTGATAAAAGAAAATATTTATCTAAATATGTCCCTAGTAATTAATTTGTGTTAAAAATATGTTTCAAGTCGATCACTGATTCATAATTTCTTTTATCCACAGAAAATTTCTGTTGATAAATCTTATAAATATTTAAAAAAATAATTTCGTCTTAAAAATTACATTTTTTAAAAATAGATAAAATTTTTGAACTACCCCCCCCCCTAATCAGAAATTGAGAACGGAAATTATATTTTTGAATTGTTTAGTGCAAAGATGAACTATATTTGTTTAGTTACATTTCGAAAAATTCTTAGTTATGTTTCTATATTTTTGTGATCTGACTTATAAATTTAAACAGAGCATGATTTTATACGATTTGTGTAAGTTGTTGAAAGATTTTACTAAAGACTTCCGTTTTTTGGAAGATCATTATCAAAATTATTTCCGAAACTTCTAAATTTGTAAGCAATTTTCTGATTTTTAAATATTTTGAAATATATTTTTCTTTCTCAATATATTTTAAAATATATTTGTATCCCGAGAAAATTACATTTCATGTATTATCATATAACCTTTTTCGCTAAAATGTCCGTACAAAGAAAATATTAAAATTTTTTCAATCTAACGTTTCATAATTACTTTACCATATCTACGATTATAAACAATAAAATGTTAATTAAAAGTGGGCAATTCCGGTATTTAGTGCTTACAATCATTTAATTAACATTTTTAGATTAAATTACTTAAAAAAGTTTCCAATTATAAATCAAAAGTATACTTTTATTTTGTTGATAAATATTGATTTCATGCAAATTATATTTTCCGTGAGAAGAATCGCAGAAATAATCCCACTTTTAAGACTTAAATGAGTTTGAAGTGTTGACAAGTTTATGAGTTTGTTGCTATTAAAAATCGTAAAATTGTTAAAATATTTCTAGAACTTGTTAGTTTCATGAAAATAATTTTTTTTCTTCGATTAATCGATATCTAAATTAATCGATTTTGACATGGGAATTTAAGCATATGTCATCAATTTTCAACTTCAAATTTGTTAACGTAAGTAAAATGAATTATTTACTTCTAAAATTAATCTGAAATGTCTACTTTTGTTCTCTTGTTTCTATATAGTTTTCACCATTTTTATTGTTTAGGTCTACCAGTAGGTAAGTGAAAAATAATAATTGTAAATTAACAAGGATAACCATAAAAAATATGTTATTGAAAAAGCTATTATAAAACTGACAATATAGTTTGTTCTAATTAAGTAATGAAAATCAAATTAAGAAAAAATAATTTCTATTATTTTATATCATTATTATTCATCAATTTCAGATGATTTCATATGTTTTTTTTTTCTTCAGTGATCAAATAGGTCAATATAAATGAAAAGAAAAAAACACACACATCTATTCAATCTTATCTATTTTTTGCTTTTTTCTATAAACATATGCGTATAAACATATTTTAGGGATACGTATAGACACTTTCTGCCTAATCAGCAAAAATAAATAAATCGGGGCTCGGAGGCAAAATTCTTACTGCTAATTACTGCTGAATTTTTACATTAATTTTTACTTTTCAATTCATTGTTTTTCAATATTTTAAACATGAAATTTTCATACGGTTACTATATTGTTTCGTTTTAAACTTTAAGCATTGATTTCAACTGAGCGTAAAGTATCAGATTATTAATTTTTAATTGTTTTAACAAGGCAAATTTGTTAACAGATAATCATTTTATCTTTTTCATTATTTCAGAAAAATTCTGTCACAGTCGAATAACTAAGCAAACGTTGTTTTACAAGCATAGTCGGAACTAATTGCTGTACTTATTATTTATAGTTAGACAGAGCTCATTCATCTTCTAGGAAGACTCAAGTTATTTAAATGCGTTTTACGTATTCAACAATTTTATTTTTTTAATATACTTTTTATTTCATTTCATTAAATAAAAATAATTATGATGCAGTACGTTGCATTATTATGTCTGAGAAAAGGATCAATTTTTTAATTGCACTGCGTACATTACTTTTTAATAAAGAACTCTACCTTCTAAATATGTAAATAAGGTTTTAATTTACACTGTCCTCCTGTTAGCATAGATAATATCAAAACTTCATTTAACGCTTTAGTGGGCCATTTAATTCTAATAAAGATAAATTAAAGAGTTTTTGGAATTGAAATTCATATAAGAATAGTAATTGATGTAAGAAAAGAAAAGCTCATTTAGCTTATAAAAATAAGTTTGAATTTTAATGCAATTTTTTTTTTTTGGTGATAAGTATATTTTCCCAGACCTAAATGAATTTTATTTTTCTTTATTTATAAAATAAATTTTATAAATGATACAAACTTCAGAAGGTATTATGCATTTTATAACTTGTATACGTTTCCTTATACTTAAAAAAATGGTTGACAATTTTATTCAAATGCACCTCAAGAAAGCTGATGTTATGTTATTAGCCAAAGGAGACCTAAATTAAATCTGGTAAGACAGCTAATATGAACTTTAAAAATTAGTGGTAAGTATGCTTACCACGGCATTAGAAGGGGATAATTTTCCTTATGCAACAACCAAAGTTATGGATTCTTCATTGACATTTACAGCTCTATTAAGAAGAACGTGCTTTTTTTCTCAAAGCATACGCGGGTTTTCCATCATGTTATTGCATTAAAAAAATACGATAATTTTCATCTACGAAGTTTGTGTAAATTTTAATTTCGCACCTAAACGCTTTGTAGTAAATTCATTGAATTGAAACTTCTTATAACCAATACCTGTGAATTGAACTGCTCTACTTGTGCTGGAACAAAAGATTTTACTATCAACATAGTGCTTATTAACATAATCCTTATCATTCAGAGGGGTTTTATATTTACAATTCTTTCATTATGTGCATTTAAATTCTTTTACTCGTGTCCCATAATATACAATAATACTCTAAATGCTATCTATTAGTTGCATCTGTTTTGTCTAAAGGAGCTTTTACATTTGATATGATTATATTTCTTGCATCAAAATTATTTTTATCGTGCATTAAACATTCATCTCTTAGTTCATCCATGCCTTTTAGTTGCACAATCAGATTCTTCCTTCAGATCTTCTAATTCTTTTATATATTTCTGTTTTATATTGAAAAACTTCTTCAGCATGAATCTGACTGCTATTAGTGGTATTGACTTATTCTTCAATATTCTCACAATTAGCATTGACATAATTTTTCGTTGCAGAATCAGTATATTCTTTAGGTTCCAAATTAGGTTCCAGTATTTTCGTTAGGTTTTAAGTTATAATCATTATTAAATCATATTTAATCATATATTGGCCATCATTCGCTAATTTGAACCCCATTCCTGGAATATCAGGAGTTCCTTCTCTGTTTTCTCTTTCGAAAATTGGATAGTACGCTGCCATTTTTTTTACTTCAATGAAAGAAAAAGGAATTGGCCACCGAGTATAAAAATTAAAAAATATATATAATTTGATGCAACTTATAGTTTTAATGTTTTGATCATGATATTATCTGAATTTTTTATGTTTAAGCAGCATTTCTTACACGTTGGATGTTTTAGGTAGTGTTTTTTTTTTAACCTATAGTTGAATTTTATCATCAAGTTGTTCGTATCCGTATAGTTTTGATGATGAGCTAAGTTAAAACAATTGATTGGATCTAATTTACCAAAATTCGAATTATTGACCATACAATCTGTTTCCGGCTTAATGGTGTTGAGACCAGATTCCAAAATTACTGTGTATAATCGATTTTGATAATTTTTCTCAAAATCCATCATGCAACTAACAGTTGGAACCTTTACATTTTTAATCATCAGCCATTACTCCGTATTATCCAAATGGTCAAATTACATATTGTTATGTTTTGCATTTTCATATCTTTCCGTGCATTGAGGGATTACGTACAAGGATAAGACCTCATCTGAAGTAGCTTTGATAAAATAAGAACTGCTGGATTTTTTCATCGAAAATATTCTATTTCACAATGCTGTGTTGGTTCCAATTTATTTCTACAGGCTTATCGGATAACCTTAATTGATTAAATTTAGCAACAGACTATGAACTTAAATCCAGCATATGGAAGCCAGAGTGATAAATCTGCTACAACTTTATAGTCGTATGTTGCTGGTCAGTGTACAACATATTTTCACTATGATTCCTCTGAAACTTAAATTTGACTTGGTGTCCAGTAATTACTTTTTTATTTTCCCAGAAGGAATCAAATGCATATTTTAATGGGATGCGTAAAGTTACAACATTGCTATTTTGAGTAAATTTGTATCGCTGCCCAAATCCCTCATAATATTCCTCGTTAAATACCAATTTTTCCAGAAACTCAGTTATTTTGGTTGTATCAACTAAAGCCTTGTTGTATTTTAAAGGTATTCCATTAGCAGCGTCCGACCGACGTTTCAGTGTAGAAGAGCATTTTTGCAGCTTCCGAAGAAGAAGAATCCGATGTAATATGAATAAATCCTAATACTTGTTGCATGAAAGTGGAATCATTTATGTATGATTCGATTTCAGTGCTTCCCAATGTTAGCCTGTTAGCTTTGGTCAAACCACCTCTATTCAAGAGAGTAACATCATTCGCTATTGTAGTTCTATCACTGTTAAAATTTTTTAGTTTTGCTGTAAATAACCCTACTTTAATCAACAGTTCCTAGAAAAGAGCAGGCCTCAGCATGGGTTACCATAAATATCCTTCAGTAGTCCAAACGTAATGACATATGTCGTATTTTCAACCACTGGGCAGCTTAGTACCCCGAACGTAATGACATCTTTCTTATTTTTCATCTACTTCGCAGTTAACTTCGTCACATCGGACTACTAAATTGATCCTAGCCGAGGCCTTCAGACTTCTAGGAGGTGTTGCTTTAACCCTAGGTCATTATGCAATAAAAACTGAGAAGAATGAAATCTGTGTAAGCGAATAAAATATAATATTTTAGTTATAATCAATGGCAAGAGAAATTGATTAGTGAAACTTTTCTAAAAAGAAACTTTCAGAGCATGTAATTACAAGTTTGGCTGACTGTTTAAAATAGGAATATGTGTTTCAATATTCCATATTATCTGAAACTTTAATCGAAGGATATGCACAGCCAGATTATTGGTTTATCATTTCCCAATATCAAAAACTATCATGATCTTTTATAGAAAAGCATTCTTGTGATGTAGATTGGCAAAAAATATGCAGTACATCCTACCTTATCTATTAATTTAATTGAGAAGCATTTGGATCGGATTGCTTTGGATGAAATATCAAGGTGTCAAAAAAAAACTGAAATATTTATTGAAGAATACTACGAGCGTATGGATATGTCTGACGTTTCCAGTTCTCAAATACTGCCAGGGACTATAATAAGAAAATTTATAGATGAAGTCAATTGGGACTATATTATACAGTAACAAGAAGGATCAAGATTTTGTTATAAAATTTGTATTGAAAATAGATTTTTTCCTATTAATGCAAAATAAAATCAAGATATTTTCAAATAAATTTTTCAAAGCTCATAAATAAAGCATAAATTCTATACTTGCAGAGATTTGTCATTATACACGAGTATCTGCTTATCATCCGCTAAAAGAATCAAGGTCATCAAAAACATATTTTGTATAATAGGGTGAGATTAGTTACGGTCGGAGAATTGTCGAAAAAGGTTAATGGTTTTTCTAACCATTGAAATTTCTATCAAAATCTGATATTAAGCCAGTTCTCACAAAATATTTTTTTCACTTCATTAATTAAGATTGATTGACGATTGTTTTACGGCAAGTGGTGGTTGCTAACACCGTAATTTTCTGTTACCATTGACAGATACCAACTTTTCGACAGCAGTAGTGATCACAATACTTTATGTAGACTGTGGTTAGAAGCCAGCCTCGATTTTGTCTTCCTAAATGAACTAGTGAGGCAGTTTTCTTATCACTACTCGGAATAAGTTGTCAACTTAAAACATTTAAAATATTTCTTACATCTACCAGTAAATAAACAATAAATAATTCATCTAACTTAAAAATAAAGTTTTAGTTAAATACTCATATCATCGAACTGTTTGTCTAAGCCTTCCGCGCTTCTGCTTTACGCAGCTGAGCAGAAGGCAAGTTAGTATTCAAATCAAAGTTCAAAACTTTTGTCACTTTAGT